GTAGTGAGCCAAGATTAGCACCATTGCCAACTCCAGCCTGGGTGACAGAGCGAGACTCCCTCTCCAAAAAAAAAAAAGAGAGAAAAGAAAAGAGAAAAGAAAATAAATTAAGAAATTCAAGTCCCTTCACCTCAGAGTAATTTCTTACATTGTTTAATAATTTTCTTTCCTTCATTCCATCTTTCTCTTCCTGAAACTTGCAGATTTCAGACCTTCTGGGTAGATTTATTTAATTAATTAATTTTTACTCTATTGTTCCGATCTTAACCTCTGCCTCCTGGGTTCAACCTCCACCTTCAGGATTCTCCTGCCTCAGCCTCCCAAGTAGCTGGGACTACAGGCGCCCGCCACCACACCTGGCTAATTTTTTGTATTTTTAGTAGAGACGGGGTTTCACTGTGTTAGCCAGGATGGTCTCGATCTCCTGAGCTCGTGATCCGCCTGCCTTGGCCTCCCAAAGTGCTGGGATTACAGGTGTAAGCCACTACGCCCGGCCAGGACTTGAAGTTCTCAAGAACCCAGAGAATGCCTAGCACAAATAATTTTTTTAAAAAGATGCACAGCAAGCATAATATAGGATAAAAAGATGCTAAAATTTCCAGAAAGCACACACACACACCCTCTCTTCTGTCAAAAAGATCAGAAATCATAGAATGGATGTCTCAAAAATTGTTTAAGAAAATTAAATCATCTGTATCTTCTGTAGATTTTTTTTTTTTTTTTTTTGAGACAGAATTTTGCTCATTACCCAGGCTGCAATGCAATTGCACAATCTCGGCTCACTGCAACCTATGCCTCCCGGGTTCAAGAGATTCTCCTGCCTCAGCCTCCCCAGTAGCTGGGATTACAGGCATGTGCCATCATGCCTGGCTAATTTTTGTATTTTTAGTAGAGATGGGGTTTCACCATGTTGATCAGGCTGGTCTTGAACTCCTGACCTCAGGTGATCCACCCGCCTTGGCCTCCGAAAGTGCTGGGATTACAGGTGTGAGCCACTGTGCCCGGCCTTCTGTAGTTAGAATTTAATAGATAATGCCTAAAATGGAATACAGGAATACTATTGAATACTATTGGTATATTATTTTCTTTTTTTTTTTTTTTAAGAGATGGAGTCTCGTTCTGTTGCCCAGGCTGAAGTGCAGTGGCGTGATCCTGGCTCACTGCACCCTCCATCTCCCAGGTTCTAGCAATTCTCCTGCCTTAGCCTCCCATGTAGCTGGGATTTCAGGCACACGCTGCCACGTCCAGCTAATTTTTTGTATTTTAGTAGAGATGGGGTTTCACCGTATTGCCCAGGCTGGTCTTGAACCCGAGGTCAGGCAATCCACCCGCCTCTGCCTCTCAAAGCGTTAGGATTACAGGCGTGAGCCATGGCGCCCAGCCTGGTATATTATTCTAAAATAGTAAGTAGATTCTTAGCTTACCTCTTTCACTCCTAAGAATTAACTGGACTTACTAAATAATGTATATGTATTGCTTTGGCAAAACCAAACCAAAACTAGGTGAAAATAAAACACTTGCACTCTTGGCTCATTTCTGTACCGAAATATGGTGTAACCTTGGCCAAATATCTTAGTTCTTTAACCCCATTAGCAGTGTTTTCTCTGATGGAGGGGTTGATGTTGTCTATGGTTCTTTCTATCTGTAAAACATCAATTGCTTTATCTTTGAAAGTACAGCAGGTCCTCAAAAAAGTGTTTTGTTAAAATGTTGATGACCAAAAAATAATCACTTCCCTGGTGGCGCCGCTGTCTGTGTGGAGTCTTCCTGCTCTCCCCACATCTATGTGGGTTTTCTCCTGGTGCTCCAACTTCCTCCCACGTCTCAAAGATGCCCATATTGGGTCACTGATGTGTCTACATGTGCCAGTGTGAATAAGTGTGAGTGTGTGTGTGAGTGCACCTTGCCATGGGATGGGCATCCTGTCTAGGGCTGCTTCCTGCCTTGTGCCCTGAGCTGCTGGGACAGGCTTTGGCCATCTGCTACCCTGAACTGGAATAAACAGGTTGGAAAATGAGTAAATGAACACAAATTCTTGTAAAATAAAAATTTGTGAAGTAAATCATAATCATAAAGGTGTCTATGACACACACACACAAAAAAGATGCAGTACAACAGTGCTCAGTGAGCCCACCATATTTGTTATCGTGTTTGAACTGTGCAGTGGTAGGATGTGCTCCTTATAATTTTTGCTTTGCAAACATTTATTACTCAATTTAAACCCCCCACCATTACAATTGCTGTCACTCAGATTTACCAAAACTTGGGTAAATTATGTTGTTTTTATTGATCTTTCTTAGATGTATGCATGGCTCACATGTATTTCAGTGTTTAATATTAGAAGTGTTTGGGGTCTCTACTTAGAAGTTTGGTGATGTTTTTGTGACCAGGAATGTGGTGTAGGGACTTAATTCTTGTTGATATTAATTATCCTATGGTTAAGTTGGTTTCATTGTAAGTCATTTTGTTTAAAGTCACGTTTCCAAGAGCCTATCAGCAGCAGTAAGTGAGGACTTACTGTATGTAACAAAATCTTTACGGATTTGGACTTCAGAGAGTAGATTCTCACCAAATGTATTGAGATTTTCAAGTTGTAACTGATTATTGAGAGAGATCTGGAGTTCAATGGGCTTTTATCTTTTAGCTTCAAAAGGTTGAATTTGCAGTGATTTTTCTATTAATCTAAAACTAAAGCTCTGGAACAATATTGGCCATAGGAAATGAGAACGAAGTTGATAACAGTGTTTTCTATATAGGCATAGATTATAAAGTATAGTGGTTAAGAGGTTTTAGAAATGGAAAATGTACAATAGGGCAGTGGTTAACTATTCTTTTGTGGTTCTGTTCCATAAGTTTCTATCGGACTGCCTTTGGCCAAATAAGTATTAAAGTAATCTTCTATTTTATGTACATCTTTATGTGTTATTCAATAAAGGAAGATTACCAAGTGGCTAAAGCATGAGCTCTGAAGTTGGCCCGGGACTGGATCCTGGTTCTTTTACTAGCCAGTTTTAGAGTGGCACTGGATAAATAAGTTAATCTTGTTTAGCTTGAGTTTCTTTTTCTATGAAGTGGGGATGATCATAACTACTGCTATGGATTATATAGTCTATGTAAAGACAGCACTGTGTAGTACTAAGTCTCATATAAATATAAGCTTTTACAATTACTATTCCACTTTCTAGGGAATGTTTTTCCTAGGATTCTGCAAGCTGGCAGAATCCCTATCTTGTTGGGTCTTACAAGAGTAGGGAAACTGGTCAGGAAAAAGTGGTATTCTGAGAATAAGAGTTTTGGGAAGACTTCGATGAGTTGAGTATCCTAAATCCCAAACTCCCCACTTGAAGGTGAAGGAACCCCTTAGATATGCTTGTTACCTTGACTGACCAATCCCTTAATAACCTCACTTAAAGGAGTTAGTTACCTTGCACAAAGAAGCCCATATGTTCTATCCCTACAATCCCTCATTGTTTCCAGGACATAGTTTGAGTCAGATCCCAGCATGTCCCAGGGAGACAAATACTAAGTGTGGTCTGAAAGAGTCTTTTTTTGGATCTTAATATTGATAGGTGGAGAATATCTGTGGAACTAGATTCTGAGTATGTAGGACCTTGAAAGAAAGGACATAAATTGGGTCAAATGATTATTATGGGTAAACCTATAGCAGAGATTTTGGCTCAGTCTATCAGACTGAACAGCTCGAAGTAGTCCTTTTTACTTGGTGGAAAGATATTTTGACTCAGCAGTGGCTCATCTAAATTAGAGATGATATGCCAGAAACTCCTTGGTATGATGTAGAGAAAAGAAATCAAAGAAGAGGGGCCATGTTGGGGAGGGTTTCATGAGTGATCCTCTAACTGTATCCCTCATAAGAGTCCAGTCAACTCTCTTTACCAAGGCATTGAGAAAAACACTTGGTGAGCAGATCACCAGCACTCCTGAAAAGCTGTATAGTCTGTCTGTAGGCCAGAGATGCCAGTGGGAGATGCTTCAGTGGCAATGCACTCCATAATTCAATGTGCATTTTCAAGACTGTATTGTGTCAGAGACAAAGTAGTGCATTCAATTGCTAGACTAGAAAGGTGGGCATGGTTACTGTAATAGACAGCAGGAACCACAGGATAATCAGTATAGTCTAACATGAGGTCTGGCTTTGGCTGAAGGATCATGTGATCTAAAGAACGAAAATGGATAGTCCTATTTGGTTTATGTTACTAAAAACTGTCTGACTTGAGCCACTATAGTAATCATGAGCCCTTATCTAATTTTCAGGTCTGACTTAATTCAATTTCTGGAGGCCTTGGAGAAAGGACTCTGACATATCACAAGTATGTATTATGTATCTCTTAGCATTCTCCAGAGTAATCTGGGGCCATTTACCAGAGCAGTTATGCAGTGCAGAAAGAAATTCCTAGACCTTTTGGGCTCACCAAATGTGTTGAATTAGTTCTAATTTTGGGCAACCAGAATATCACACATTTATTCAGAGTGGAGTCTTGTGGAAGTCAGTAGAAGTGGAGTTTTGCCCCAAGTCCACCACAGTGACCCCCAAACCCATCCCTTGGTTACCTCTTCCATTTCCTGAGTGTATGGCTAGAGTATTAACATTAGCAACTAGCAGAGTCAACACACTGGTTTCCTTAACTGGTTCTTTTGTTTATCAAGTTTTAATGAAAGGATACAACTGATGTAACTTTACAACGTGATAAACATTTGCAGTGTCCCAAATTACTACTATTGTTACGAGAATAAGATTGCTCAGGTTGCTAAATGGAATTTTTAAAGTATTTCCTCTTTTGGTTGATGTAGTACCTGATCACAGAGTTCTAAACTACCTCCTATCAAATTTTTCTTTGAAAAATCTGCCTTTATATGTGAAATTAATATACACATATATTTTAGATAACAGCAATTTACGGGTTTTTAAAATTAAATTAGGATCTTTGCATTAAGCCCTACTCATCATTGCTCAACATATATCATGCTGATAAGCATTTAGCAAAATTTGGGACTGATATTCAATAATATGTATTAAATCAGATAATCTGAGTGCTAGGATAGTTTGCCTCCTGGATTTATACTAATTTTTATTTTTAATAATATGAACAAAAAACTCATTCTGCTCATTTGTAGGTTATAATTTTAACTGGCAAGAATTACAAAGCAGAATTTTTTTAATGGTCATTATAGAAACTAGCTTGCACTTCACCTATTTCTTGATTTTACTGAAATTTATGATCACATTAATTGGAGAAAGGAAAATAAACTGTCTTGGGAATATGCTGTAATAGCACAAAGAGATTTTCCTTCATTTCTGCAAAATTAATATTCTATATTCATCTAATGCCCATCCACCAGATTTTTTTGTATATGTCACAGAAGTACTTTTTTCTTAGGTAGTATATTTAAACCTTTCAGTTATAATAATTACCACCCCTTCCTCCCCCAACCCCTGACTTAATGTTTGTAAAAAGTTACATACCTTAAGAAATATTTACGGATAAATATGGATTAAATCCTTGAGACAAAAACCCAAACTTTAAACCAAATCCTTTCATCCAAAATCTTATATTCAAATGAAGTAAAAATTCCATTAAGGAAACAATATATTTGTTTTCAACTAATTTTTATAGTTACATCAGCCTGGGCTAATTATACAAAAAATTTATACAAATACAAAACCAAAAATACCAAACCAAACAACAACAACAAAAAACCCCCAAACCCAAAAACTCTCACTCTATAAGGTGACAAATTTTACTTCTGAGAGGTAGTACAACCAACCAAATGAATACTGTACGTGCATTAACTGAGGCACTTAAGATCACCCAACCTGTTTAATTTATAACCAAATCTCCCCTCTTCAGGATTTCAGTGCTCATGAACAAGTATTAGAACAATGGTCTCAATTTATTTTGACAAAATCTTACTTTGAAGTTTACTCATTTAGACCCTAAAGTTATAAAAATAAAGTACTTCTATCTCAGGCAAGTATTTAATTTCTCAAAAGCTAGTAAGAAATGAAAAGATCAATGTGGGGAGAAGTATGATTTCTTAAAAATGGGTACATATTTTAGTTTTCTAATTGTGAAAAACATTTATGACCTGTAAGAACATTGTTCTTCCTATTCTATTCAGGGTCATTTTAATATGTGAGCCTTCAGCTTCATTTTGTACACTACAAATAGGAAAACATAAACATCATGAATCAGTTTAAGCAGAGATGTGATTAAGAATTGTAAAAGATAGCTTTCATAACATACATAAAATTCCAAACACTTTGCATGTGAAAATTTTCCGAATGATTAAGCAGTAGGGTGATCTCAGTGAGACTTGGCTTCATATGAAATGTTTCCATTAAAATTTTAAGTTTGCCTTAAAACAAAAAGAACTTGGAAAGCAAAGCTCCCAAACCAGCTAAGTTAGAAACTGGTCAGTTTCTGAATGAAAATGACACTGTCTTTTTATTTTTACTCTACTGAATTGAAAGAACAGAAAAAGAACTACAGTTGGTATAGAGAACTATTAGGCCATCTATACAGACACCTGAGAACCAACTCTTTTCTACGTTTACCATCTTCTGCAGCCACTTGCTTCTGCTTTGTCATTCACTGACATTTCAACTCTTTCAGTTACTGTATCTTCAGATGCTGACTGGACAAGGCTTTCTGACTGTCCTCCAGTGTAGGTGGGGGTGCTGTACTTTAAAAGGATAGATTTAAACTGCATCAGAGGTGCATCTGTGCGTACACCCATTGGGTCAAAATGAGTTCGGCTTACTCGAAAGCCTGCTTGAGATAAATAGCACAAAAACTTCTTTAACCTGCAACAAGGAAAGAAAAGAAAAAATAATCAGGTTTTTGTATTTTTATTTAAATCACAATATTATTAAAATATAAAATATATACTTTGTCATTCACTGGGTGTCTTACTTTGGCATATTCATTCCTTTAATGCTGTGTCTGTGAATGTTGTAATAAAAGGGAGGATGTTCAGTACTGACATCAGTCTTTTGCTTCTTGCCTAAATTTGTGATCATTTCATTACTTTTTCTCTTTCCTGCAACATACACATACAAAGTTAGCATGCTCTTAAAAATTACAAGCCAAATACTTTTATAACTATATATTTGTCTCAAGTCTAAATCCTGACACATTATTTCAACCTGTCTCTCCAATCTTAATTCTTATATTCTATTTTCACTGTCCTTCACTTATGTAATTTTCATATTTAACTGTCTGCTGAATCAGAACTTCCTTTCTACCTTCTTCAACTTCAAGTCACACTCTATTTTGTCTCCTGTAGGAAGCCATCTGTGAATTTGGGGCCAGTCACTTCACAGATTTCATTGTTGGTAATACTACACTACACTACTCAGAGTTTGATTAAGTTCTGTCATTTTTTTCTTTTCTTATAGTTCCTTAATGTGTGTAAAAGTCCTTTCTCCCCAAGTTATATTCTAAGTTCCTAAGGACAATGTCTTTCATTTTTATACCTGTATTTCTACTGAGTGCTCAGTATTGGATATATAGTGGGTCTTCAGTAATCACAAAACAAAGAAAAACAACACAAAGTCTTGAGAGCTTGGACAGAGAAACTGATAAAAGGTCAATGTTATTATCTCATTGCCTATTTCTCATCACAGCACTCAGTTTTTTCATTTTGAGTGAAAGGAAGACAGCAAGTAAGATTTTAGAACTGTATCCTTCCAAAAATCACAACATGAAAACAACTGAGATAGCTATCCAATACTATAATGAGATTTTGCCTGGTGTTCAATCCTTGATTATTTATATATGAATGTTATGGTCAAACCTTACTTCCTCAGGGAAAGTAATTAACATCTGCTTAAGGAAAGTATTCAGAAGGTGCCAGGGGCATTGACATACACCTATAGTCCCAGCTACTTGGGAGGCTGATGTGGCAGGATTGCTTGAGCCCAGGAGTTTGAGTCTAGCCTGGGCAACATAGCAAGACCCTGTCTCTTAAAAAAAAAGTATTAAAAAGGCAAAGTTGATACATAAAATGATAAATTACATTCAAAATAAATATAAATTATTGCTGAATTGTTGCCTTTTTACATAAAAACATAAAGCAAAAAGGACAACCTGGGATCCATCCATCAAATCAGAATTATAATTTGAAATCTAAAATCTGAAATTGCATGAAATCTAATGAGGCACCTAGTCAAAGGATAGATACCCAGATTTAGTACAAGTTTTAGGAGCATCTGAGGCAAAAAATCTGATGTAATACCTTAATAGTGACTATCATCAGCAGTATACAGATTTTTTTTTTGGCCCAGTAATTTCTTCCTTTTCAAAAAATTTCAACTTTCCTTATCAATTAAAGGGTATATCTGTAGGTTTGTTACATGGGTAAATTGTGTAACACTGGGGCTTGGAGTCCCAACAACACCAGCACCCAGGCAGTGGGCATAATACCCAGCAGGTGGTTCTTCAGTCCAGGCCCCAACCCATCCCTCCTCCATCTAGTAGTCCCCAGTGTCTATTATTCCCATCTGATGTCCATGAGTACCCAAAGTTTAGCTCCCACTTATAAGTGAGAGCATGGGGCTTTGGTTTTCTGTTCTTGCATTAGTTTTATTAGGATAATGGCCTAGAGCTCCATCCATGTTGCTGCAAAGAGCATGATTTTGTTCCTTTTTATGGCTGCATATTATTCCATAGTACATATGTACATTTTCTTTATCCAGTCCATTGATGATGGGCACTTAGGTTGATTCTATGTCTTTGCTATTGTGAATAGCACTGCAATCAACATATAACGTATCTTTGACAGAATGAGTTATTTTCCTTTGGGTTTGCATAGTACTATCATTTTAAGATTTTATGTGTTGACCAATGGCCTTAGAATAACCATATAATTTAAGAGTTATAGAAGAGCCCACAAAAATTAGTCTAATTTCCTTAATTTATATATGAGAAAGGCTCACAGATTAAAAACAATTTTTTTTTTTTTTAAGATGGAGTCTGGCTATGTTGCCCAGGCTCACACAATCCTCACACTATCCTCCCACTTCAGCCTCCTGAGTAGCTGAGATTACAGGTGTGTGCTATTGTGCTCTTGGCTTTTGAAAATATTTTTAAAGCTTATTTGTTTTACTTTATCCTAAAAAGGATTTAAGACAATTTTGCTGAAGGGGAGGGACCTGGGTGAGTTTATATAACAGCGCCTGCAGTAGGATAATGATCTTAAATCTAATTTTTTTTTTTTTTTTTTGAGACAGTCTTGATCTGTCACCGAGGCTGGAGTGCAGTGGTGCAATCTTGGCTCACTGCAGCCTCTGCCTCCCAAGTTCAAGCAATTCTCCCACCTCAGCCTCTCAAGTAGCTGGGATTACAGGCTTGCACCGACGCACCTGGCTAATTTTTGTGTTTTTAGTAGGGACGGGGTTTCACTATGTTGGCAAGGCTGGTCTTGAACTCTGACCTCAAGTGATCTGCCCATCTCGGCCTCCCAAAGTGCTGGGATTACAGGCATGAGCCACTATGCCCAGCAAATCTAATATTCTTTACAGTGTATCATAATGCTTCTTTGTCTTCCCTCCAACAGAGAAATTAGGTAGAATATATCAATTTAAGTTATCAAATTAAATATATCAATTTAAGTTATCAACAGAGAAATTAGGTAGATTATTATCAATTTAAGTTATCAAGATGCCAAATGAACATGGCTGTTGGAAAGAGTATACAGTAGCTATTTAAACTATATACTATTAAAAGGAATTTAAGTTTCCTTTCTTTGAAGGTCAACACTAAACTGTTGAGCAACTAATAAAAAATTACAGCTTATAACTAAAGGCCACCGCTCTTTCAAACTTAACACTCTACAGTCTTCTTTTCATCTGTATTCAAAAACACATCTGGAATCTAAAGTTTTTTAAAAAGCAAAACAAAACCTTAGACATTAAGGCAATGATATTTTAAATCTTAACGTCCTTTTAATATGAATTTACAGTGCCTAACACAGTTATATTTAAAGTATGCACATATCCTAAATTGTATGAAAGGCCATATAATAAAATCTTTTGGCTGGAGAATGAGGTCTTCTGGTTAAATGGAATTGCTATAAATCATATATTAATGAGCAATTTTAAAAAGAATTAGAATAAAATTTTATCTTAACTATAAAATTATATATAATTTTATCATATCTAAATTGATCTTATTTTATTCACATGATTCAAGATCATACAGTTCGTTCAAAGGGATAACCATATATTACAGATGTGAACAAAGTATATGTTAACAGAAATTTCCAATGTGTGAATGTTGATAAACAAGTTTTACTACAGTTTTGTTGTCATTTAATATGAAATGTATTTTTAAGTAGGCTATCATGGCAATCTGTTTTCTTCCTACCCTTTTGCTATATGCCATTTTGACCTGATACGTACAAATGTACACACATATATGCATACATACCTTGTGCAATGTAATTATCTGTTGTGGTGTCATCTGTAGTTTTAATAAATACACCATTTTCTTCTAAAAAAAAAAAAAAGCAAATGGGAAAAGAAAATATTTTACAGAATGACATAAAGCAACTCAACTCAAAGTTTAAATAAAACTTTATGAAATTCCATCCACACTATTTTCATGAATATGCAAGAGACTCTGTGGCCAAACTGAACTGCAAAAATTACATTGTTTAACCCTCTATAATAGCAGCTTCTAATTATTTATGAGAACACTAGGATATTCAATAGGCTCACCTTTATATCAACAGTCAAGATACAACTACAAAATTGGCTGTTTGTACTAAAGAGAAAAAAAACACATAGCTTTACTGAATGAGAAGTATAAATCTAGTTTCTGTGTCTCCACAGATATTATAATTTTTTGGCCACATTACTCCTAAAGTTTCTTTTTCTAGAAAGCAGATCTAGGGTAATAAAAATCACAAAGGAACTTTAGGTTTTTTTTTTTTTTTAATTCTTTTTAAAAAATCTAGTAAAATTAAAAATACACAAAAAAGGGAGGTTATCTTAAAAAAAATTGTCAGCGCATGGTGGTTTGCCTGTAATCCCAGCCACTTTGGGAGGCCAAGGTGGGAGGACTGCTTGAGCCCAAGAGTTTGAGATCAGCCTGGACAATACGGTGAGACCCCATCTCTATAAAATTATTAGCCAGGTGTGGTGGTGCATGCTTGTGGTTCCAGCTACACAGGAGGTTGAGGCTGAGGCAAGAGGATTGCCTGAGTCCAGGAGGTTGAGACTGCAGTGAGCCATGTTTGTGCCACTTGCATTCCAGCTTGGGTGAAAAAGTGAGACCCAGTGTCCAAAAAAACGCAACAAAATCAACAATACTATTCATCATTCATCTATTCATTTCAGGCCTGATTATAAGCCTGAAGAAAACTATCTAATTAAAAAAAAAATTAACCAGATTATGATTAGACTCATTAGAGAGGATTTACTAAAAACACTATAATTATATTGCTTTTATTATAACATCAAATACAATTGAAAAAGATACAGTATTTTTGGTAAGTAAATTAAAGCTAGTAAGCTAGTATTCAATTAGTCACCTTGCTTGTTGAGATTTGAAGGTGTATGAATTGAAAACTGACTTTGAGGCGTACACTCTGATTCAAAGATTAATGTCTTTATTAGGGTCTGAATGTCATCCAAACCATGGTGAAGTGATTCAAATAGCATTCTTTTGAGGAATCCAGTATTGAAAAGGGAACTTGACCTGAAAAGAAAAGAATATACAGAGAACTGGATTTGAGAAATATTTCTCTTTAAAAAAAAAAAAAGTCTTCACAATTTAAGTAAGACATATAATTATATGACAGAGTAATACTTAAATTAAAAAATAATTTATGATTTAATTTAAAACTGTTTATTATTATTTTTTGAGAGTCCCATCCTGTTGCCTAGGCTGGAGTATTTTATTATTTTTTAATAGAGATGGAGTCTCATCATGTTGCCCAGGCTGATCTCAAACTACTGAGCTCAAGGGATCCTCCTACCTTGGCTTCCCAAAGTGCTGGGATTACAGGTGTGAGATACCACATGCCTGGCCTAAAACTTTTTATTTTCTATTTGCCACTCATTTTATCATATCAGTTCTCTAAACTAGTAGCATTAGTCAAGGAAACCTAAGTCAGTAAGAATCTACTGAGGCTGGGAAGGGGAGAATTAGTCAAGGAAACTTAAGTCAATAAGAATCTACTGAGGCTGGGAAGGAGAGAAGGGAGAGGGTGATGAAGAGGGGTAAAAGAATATAAATGTATTTATTATCATTGAAGTATATAGTTAAAAATGGTAAAGAAGGAAAATGTTATATGTGTATGTTACCTTAATAAAAAAAATAATTTATTGAGCTCTCATAAGGTATACAGTACTGTGGTACATAAAGGGTGTGTGGAGGATATACCAAAATAAAATATACAATGTTGACCTTACAAAAGCCTATAAATCTAGACAGGAAAATAGAGCAATGAACAGGTTTTCACAATGCACATTCTAGTCACTAATAGAAAATCTTAATTCTGGTGTGTTTATGGTGGCAGGGTGGGGCAGGACAGGGCAGGGGAGCACATATATGAGAATTATATGTGGTGATGGTATGGTTCAAAAATGGTCTGGGGTGAATCTGATATGCTTCCCATTTAATTTGAGAATCACAGGTATAATGGACAAAAATGAAATTCTGAGTAAGATAAACTGGATTCCAATCCTGGCTCCACCACTTACTAGTTATGTAATCTTAATAGAGACAGGGTCTCACTATGCTGCCCAGGCTGAACTTGAATTCCTGGGCTCAAGGGATCCTCCTGCCTCAGCCTCCTGAGTAGGTGGGACTATAGATGTGTGCAACTGTGCTGGGCTAGCTATATAATCTTGAGTAATTACTACTTTTGAGTCTTGTATTCCTCATCATGAAATGTAAAATAAAACTTTTTTTTTTTTTTTGAGACAGTCTCGCTCTGTTGCCCAGGCTAGAGTGCAGTGGTGCAATCTTGGCCCACTACAAACTCTGCCTCCTGGGTTCACGCCATTCTCCTGCCTCAGCCTCCCAAAGTGCTGGGATTACAGGCGTGAGCCACCGTGACTGGCCAAAAATAAAACTTCTCTATATATCCTCAATGTATGGTAGTTACTATTGTTAGGGTTAGCAAATATATATGAAAGAATATATGATCTTAAATTATCAAATATGTGATCAATAGAAGATACACTAAAGGGAATTTAGAGATTATATTGGGTTGAAGCACTAAGGAGAGACTTCAAAAAGAAAGTACAATTTGAACTGGAGGTGGTAGAGAGGGGGAAGGTATTCTCATGAGTGTAAAGACATGAACACAATAGCTTTCATGTGGAAATCATAAGGTTTTATTAAGAATTCAGGCTGGGCGTCGTGGCTGACGCCTGTAATCCCACCACTTCAGGAGGCTGAGGTGGGCGGAGTCAGGAGTTCAAGACTAGCCTAGCCAACATGGTGAAACCCCCTCTCTATTAAAAATACAGAAATTAGCTGGGTGCAGTGGCATATGCCTGTAGTCCCAGCTACTCGGGAGGCTGAGTCAGGAGAATCGCTTGAACCCAAAAGGCGGAGGTTGCAGTAAGCCAAGATCATGCCATTGTACTTCAGCCTGGGCAACAAAGTGGGACTCTGTCTCAAAAATAAAAAATAAAAAAAGAATTCAGTCCTGGGAGTCAGAAAACCTAAGTTCTAGCCTTGGCTGTGGTATGAATTTTTTTGGTCAGTTTTAGCAAGCACTTAAAAACACTGTGCCATAGTTTCTTCATGTGTAAAATAAGGCAGTTAGGCTAGAAATCTTCCTTCTGGATCCAGTAACCTGCTATTTTTAATTTCCTCAGTTCTGAATCAGTCAGTAGGATCAATGTGCAGATGCTATGGGTGAGAACTAGTTTTAGAAGAACTAGAAGGTAGGGTTGGCTAGGTCTTTCTTAATCTAAGAGTATTTAATAAGATGAAGATAAAATAATGAGCATCAGCACAAAGACATTTACCATTTGGGTCGATTTCTAGGTTTAGTAGGTGCTTAAGCCTTGACCTTATAAAGTAATGAGAAGAAATTTGCAATTCTTGTCACAATGTTGTTAGGAATCTTGAATTTCTGTAAAAATCTTGGCTGGGTGCAGTAGCTCATGCCTATAATCCCCAGTACTTTGGGAGGCCAAGGCAGGCGGATCACTTGAGGTTGGGAGTTCGATATCAGCCTGACCAACATGGAGAAACCTGGTCTCTACTAAAAAAAAACAAAATTAGCTGGGCATGGTGGCACATGCCTGTAATCCTGGCTACTCAGGAGGCTGAGGTAGGAAAATTGCTTGAACCTGGGAGGCAGAGGTTGCGGTGAGCCAAGATAGCGCCATTGCACTCCAGCCTGGGCAACAAGAGCGAAACTGGTTCAAAAAAAAAAGAAAAGAAGAACTCTAGTAACAAGACTTCAAGGTAGGATTCTGATTAACTAATTTAGATTTGGAGGGTGTGGTGGCTCACAACTGTAAGCTAGTACTTTGGGAGGCCGAGGCAGGCAGAGCACCTGAGATCAGAAAGTTCGTAGAAGCCTGGCAAACATGGGAACCCAGTCTCGTAATAAAGTACAAAAATTGCAGGTGTTGGTGGGTGGTGCCTGTAATCCCAGGCTACTGCAGGCAGGCTGAAAGACAGGAGAATCGCTTTAACCTGGGAGAGGGAGGTTGCAGTGAGTCTGAGTTGGCGCCACTGCACTCCAGCCTGGGAAACGAGCGAGCTCCATCTAAAACAAGAAAAACCCAAATAACTTTAAGGTCAATTAGCGTTAACAATGGATGCAAAAGCAGGTATACCATTATATTTCCATTGTGTACCATCTAATTAACTTATAAAACTAAAGGCAGACACTTTACGATGTTTCTCACTTAAAACTAATTTTCTAGACCTTTTACATGAGTTGGCTCTTCAATAAAAGTTATTGTTGATCATTTAAAAAATCACATGCTAGATCTACATATTGAATCATTTTAAAAGCTCTTTACTTATATATCAGAAGAGTGAATTATTCTAGTTTCCAGACATCCAGACTTCTCTTTTATCTCCATTGCTCTTAGTTCTGTCCACAAACTAGATGAGAATAACGGGTACGAGAAAATCGTCAAAATATTAAACACTTGGGTTCATAAGGGAGAAGAGTATAAACTATTTTGCCTAGAGACTTAAAATTGATTTAAATGTGTTTTTTACGACATATAAAATCCGCAATTAATCAATCAATTAAATCAATTTTAGATTGTTCTTTATGGTGGTCACATACCACAGAGGTTCAACGTTCTAGTTGTGTCTTTCCCAGGCATGCTTCCATGACAGTTCTCAAGGCAGGTGTCTATATGGGTTTTTGTTAAAAAGATAATATAAAGGGAAGTCAAGGAGAAGTGGAATATCAAATAGTAGTATTGTATATTAATGTATTTATTATATAATTTGCAGCTACTATGATAGCTGAGGATGCTACTATGTCAGGTATTCATGCGTAGTATTTATGTAATGCATATATATGTGTTGTGTGCGTTGTGTGTGTATAGTATATAAACCACCATATATTATACAACATTTATTGATATGTTTATATGGTACGTATGATTATTACACACACACACGCACACCACATATATAGTTTTTGTTATTGAAGTCCGTAAACTCTTGAGTAGGTATGTTAAAATCTCAATTATACAGATCAGAGGATTAAAGCTTGAGAGAGGTTGTGGAAATCCATGTCAAATGGCTTATTAGAGGTGTAACTGATATTTACTTACTATACTACATGAAATAATATAAAGAAGGAAAGTCTTATAAAGTTTACAAGAGATTCATATTTCAAAACTAACTGATTAAGATATAATTTATGTGCAATAAAATATATATTTTATGTAAAATGGTTGATGAGTTTTAACAAATATATACACCCACATAACCAACATCCCAATCAAAATGTAGATATTTCTCGTAAGTTAACTCTTCTGAATTTGGAAAGAAAATGAATTGCTCTATTCCTTATGCTTGATTCATATTCAGCCTTCAAATGTAGGCTAGAATCTAATTTGGCTTAAAAAGCAATGAATGAGAGGCCTGATATAATCACAAGGAAATTGGGGAGATACTAGCACTATTCTTAGTTTTCAAAATGGGCTAATATTTGACTATGGAACTTTTAAATGCACTCAAGGCTCACATAGTCATTTTATATCAGAAATTCTCCAACTAATTCCCTCCACTCTAGGCCACTCCTGGGTTGATCATTCACTTTCTTGGAATGAACTGATCTAATCAATCAGTCCCAGATATATTCAGAACCAAAGAACAGTGGCAGGAACTAAACACCTTGGGTTCATAGGAGGAGAAGAGTCATAACTATTTGCCTAGACTTAACAATTGAATTTAAATGTGTTTTTTACCACACATAATAAAAATCCGCAATTAATCAATCAATAAATCAAATTTTAGTATGTTCTTATGGCTGGTCACATACCACAGAGGTCCAAGTTCTATTGCTGTCTTTCCAGGCATGCTTCCATGACAGTTACAAGGCAGCTGTCTATATGGGTTTTCTGTAAAAAGATAATAAAAGGAGAAGTCAAAGGAGAAGTGACATACAAATAGTAGTAATTGTTATATTAATTCGTTCCAAGGAAGTGAATGATTCATACCAGGAGTGGTAGAGTGGAGGGAATTAGTTGGAGAATTTTCTGATATAAAATGACTATGTGAGCCTTGAGTGCATTTAAAAGTTCCATAGTCCAAATATTAGCCATTTTGAAAACTAAGAATAGGCTAGTATCTCCCCAATTTCCTTGTGATTATATTCAGGCCTCTCATTCATTGCTTTTTAAGCCAAATAGATTTCTGAGGGCCTACCATTTGAGCTGGAATATGAATCAAGCATTAAGAATAGAGGCAATTCATTTCTTTCCAAATGTCAAGAAGAAGTTACACTACGAGGAAACTATCTACATTTCTGATTGGGATGTTGGTTATGGTGGGTGTATATATTTGTTTTAAAAACTCATCCAACCATTTACATTAAAATATATATATTTTATCACATAATATTCTTAATCAGTTAGTTTTGAAAATATGAATTTCTTTGTTAAAACTTTATAAGACTTTCCTTCTTTATATTATTTCACATGTAGTATTAGTAAGTTAAAATATCAGTTTACACCTACTAATAAGCCATTTGACATGGGATTTTCCACAACCTCTCTTCAAGCTTTTAAATCCTCTGATTTCTGTATAATGGAGGATTTTAATATTACC